GAGCTCAGAGTCTGAGACTCCCTCCTGATTGAAAACGACAACCGGGCCCTCAGCCACCAGCCGGCTCCACGCGAACCACCGTACCTTTGCATTTTCCACACTGCGCCTCCTCTGAGCCTCGGTATGCTGTTCTCTTTCCTTCTAGTTGAAGAATCTCTCCTCAGCCAGCCTTCCTGTGGTTCTGGGTGATGTCCGTTCCGTCTTTTAGTTGTATTTTTGAAGTGGTTGTTTGTGGCAGCAATCTCCGGTGTTTACCTATGCCGCCATCTTCGTTTCTCCAAAAGCCTGCATTCTGATTGTCTTAACAATTGACAAGTTTCTTTCTTATTTATAGCCCAGTCTAAAATGGGGTAGCAGATTTTATACAGTTATTCAGGATATTTCAGTCTTTCCAGTTAATGGCTCTCCCATCTCTTAGGGAGGCGATGTCCCCTAAGTATTGTCACAACATACGGGTCAAGTCTGAAGGTAGTACTTAGTATGCATCACTTGTGCCCATGTACCATTGGCCAATACTCATTCACTTTGTTACACTCAACTATAAGGCAGTCTGGGTATTGTGGGCTGATTATCTTATCTGGAATAAAAGAGAAACTGCAATAAACAAGTCACCTGTGGTTTGCAGGACTCTCACATCTAGACAGTTTACAACTTACATCCTTGAAGTTACCTGAGTGGCTCTTAAAATAAACTTTAACCTTAAGTAGGCCATAATTTTGAGTCACAAACTACTGTGTTTCTATTAACCTCTTTACATACAACATCTAAACAACCCTCATAAATAGAAGGCACTGTTGTCAACGAACAAAAACTGGTTCTCAAAAACTTTAAGTGCCCTGCAGAAGCTCACTGCTTACTTAGCTAGTAAGTGGCAGAGATGGTATTCAAATACAGAACCTCAAAATCCATGATCTTTCTAATATATTTCAGTGCCATGATAACTAATAAAAATTATACATTACTTTGATAAGATATGCTAACATTTGCCATTTATATTTGGATTATAATTTACTTATAAATAGGATTTGATCAGTCCCTAATAAGGTATAATATTGACATTGGAACCAGTTCCAGTGGTCGGCAAACTCATTAGTCAACAGAGCCAAATATCAACGGTACAACGATTGAAATTTCTTTTGAGAACCAAATTTTTTAAACTTAAACTATATAGGTAGGTACATTGTTATTAACGTAATTAGGGTACTCCTAAGGCTTAGGAAGAGCCACACTCAAGGGGTTAAAGAGCCGCATGTGGCTCGCGAGCCGCAGTTTGCCAACCACGGGTTTAGGCTATCACAAACAAAGCTTTTACAAATATTCATGTATTAGTGTTTATATGAACATTTGATTCCAAGTTGTAGTATTTACATACCACAAGTGGAATACCTCTTAGTAATAAAATAGAATAAACTACACACAGCAACATAGATGAATCTCAAAATAATTGTGCTGAGTGAAAGTCAGATAAAACAGAGTACATACTGTATAATTCCATGTATATAAAAATCTAGGAAAAAAAGATAATCTACAGTGACAGATCTGTGGTTGCCTGGGAGTTAGCATGGAGAGGTTGAAAGGAGGGATAATAAATGGGCAGGAGGAAACTTTGGGGACCAAAGGATATATTCATTATCTTGATAATAGTAATGGTTTCAGGCCTGTATGCATATGTCAAAACAATTAAATTACTACTTTATATATGTCAGTTTATTATATGTTTATTATGCATCAATAAAGCTATTAAAATAAAACCTTAAAAAAGAAAAATCACTTAATTCTCAGTGTTTAAATTTCTTAATCTGTTAAACACCTACATCTTTGTTCTTCGGTGATATTATGATTATGCCTATTTAAAAATGTGGATTAAGACTTTTAAAATTACCTCTGAGAGGTCTAGATTATCAAAAACGTGACTACTACTTCTAGAATAATCTTAGTCCAGGTTTAAATGTATGCTTTAATTATGTAGACCTTAGAATTATATTTCAGGTTGTCCTTTGAGCTCAACTTTTAAGTGGATTTTCAAGTTAGTGTCATATACTTTACGGTAATATAGAAGTTTTATCTTTTCATGACATTTTAATTATAAATACTAATCTTTATGAAAGGATGTTTACATAATCGTCATTGTTTTATGCATTGATTTTAATACATTCCAGAAAATTAAGTGGTTTGACCAAAATAAGTTCCTTGGTATGATATTAAAGACAGTATTAAGTCCCATATTTTTGAATCATGAACATTTGAATTTGGACCATGCTGTAAAGGAAAGAGAATTTGCAAAGCCCCTGTGCTGATTGTGGCAGTTGCATTTTTTTGTTGTATGAGACTACATTAAAAGACTCTTTACCTAACTGAAGAAAAGTTGCCGTTATTTCAACCCCTAGTAATCGTTTTAGTACTCATTTATAAGGTGGTAAACCAAGAAGCAGTTCTGAATCTATTCATAATAGTAAACCAATCATAAGAGAGCAATGTGGGTTTTTTTGTTTAATTTAACTTATTTTCTTTACTGATTAGCAATGTTTTAAATCACATTTCAAACTCATGATTTGATTATTCTTCTGTAACTTATAAAATATCCTTATCAATAATTGTGACAGGTTCAGGACACAACCAATATTACTTGCTTTCAAAGGAATTTTCTGTTTGTGTGTGTATGTGTGTGGCTTTAGAGCACCATGTGTATTGTTGTGTTTGTTTTTGTATTAATATTTACTAAAACTATTGTTTCTTCCATAGGCGGACGTAATGAAGTTGTCATTACTGAAAACAATAACAGCATAACTGAGCAAATCACTGATGTTGTGAAGCAACCAGCTTTTATAGCTGGTATTGGTGGTGCCTGCTGGGTAATTTTGATGGGTTTTAGCATCTGGTTGTATTGGCGAAGAAAGAAGAGAAAGGGACTCAGTAATTATGCTGGTAAGAGACTATTTCCAGCCAAAAAAACCTCTTATCTTCAGGAATGTGTTGAAATGAAAAAGAATGGAATGGGATGGAATACTAGAAGAGTGAATGAATGAATCTTTTTGGCTTGTTTTAAACATCTGTTCTGTAAAATGGAATTATAAATGACATGCTTTAATGCATTGCTATTCAGTATATCACATTATGACCATAAGGCAATCTTTTTGCTTGAATTTTCAATGAAGCATAACGAGAGTGCACAAGATAAATGCTTAACCACTTTTTTCAACTAGTTCTTCAAAACACAGAAATACACAGACTTTGCATGCTATGAAGCCGTTCCTTGAGATTGTCTTTAGGCAAGAGGATTACTAAAATGCTCAGGAAAAAAGTCTTGACAGAATTAATAAGACTGGTGATGCATGAATTAAGGATTCACTAGTCACTTAAATAGATGTCTGGTTCAAGGTGATGAATCAGCATTTTAGAAAGGAGAAGGAAAAGAAGCAGCAGAAGAAAAAGAAGGTCCTATGTGTTCTACCTGCCTGAAAAGATGTTTTGTTTTAGAATCCAAAACAGAATTTCAAGGTTTTCAAAATTGTGGGCTTTAAAATATTTCCAAGATGAGAGAGAGAGAGAGAGAGAGAATTATTGTCAGTGACTAAAAGAATGAACTCAGTAATGAAGCTCAATAACAATTTTGACTGCAATTCATTTTAAATATTTTATCTGACAACAATCAAAGAAATTGTCTCGCCGTATTTTATACTTTTAGAGTTTATAAGCTAACAATTTTGATTTAACATCATTCTACAAACACTTTAGAATTTTTTGAGAAATTTTATTCAATCTATACTAATAAAGAGCTAATATGCTAATGGTTGATACGCCATAACGGGTAATGACTGGGTCATTAGCATATTAGCTGGGGCGTTGCTCTGGAGATGGGCGGAAGTGGGGAGGAGCCCCTCCCGGAGGAGGCAGGACCATCTCATGCTGGGGAGGGCAGGGGTGAGAGTGCATAGCGCCCCCCTCACCAGTCCTTCGCCACTCACCGCTCACACTCTGAGTGCCCTGCGGCCCACCTGCCAGGGAGATGGGGCAGAAGCGGGGAGGCAGCCAGAGAAGGCAGGACCAGCCTGAGGCCACTCAAGGGACTGAATGCAGGGCTTGAGGCGACCAGAGAAGTCCAGAGGGTTTGTGGGCTGGGCCAAGTGCGCTGGAGCTCTGCGTGGACAGGTTTGGGTGTGAAGGCAGGGCTGCAGGTGGGTGGGCCGCGCTGGGCTCCTAGTCTTCTATAACCTTGGTAAGAAGCATAAATACCTTAATAACTGATTTTGACAAGAGTTTCATTGCTTATTAAGCTTATAAGCTGCTGTAGTTTGTAGACTTCTAAACTGCTGAGAATGTCTAAATAATGAAAATGAAAAATCACAGCACCCACTTGTTGTCTGGTCAGTTATTTTACAGCCTTTAAATATGATCATTTGATTATAACATTGCAGCTCATGTCCATATCTTATGAAAATAAAGGTTATTACTTACTGGATAGAGTAATCCCCAGCACTAGAGAAAGTATCGTAGTGTCTCCATTGGAAAGGGGCTTCCATGCTTTGTGATCTGCTATCTTTGTTATTGATTGCTGACTCAGTCTTGCTTATGCTTTGAGAGCCGACCCACCACACCAGAGAGAGATTCTTTCCAGAAAGGGATGGCAGGCAGTAACTGCTGAGTGTCAGTCTTGAACCTTGATGATACTTTAATGTACCTTCTTGATTTGCAATGCAGGGCTCCACCTTCATTCCTGGAAGGTACTATCAACCCATGTGTTTAATCACTTACAATGTTACATTTTATCTCTGTGACACCTTCATAGACTAGCAAATCTTATAAAGCATATGGAAGAACAGATTTCATTCAAGGACTACTTTGTGTTTATCCCTTTGCTTGGCTTTAGTGAAAACATTAAAATATTGACTACACTAGTCACTTCAGTGCAGTGTGGCAGTTTTACTCTCTACACTTCTTCATTCACTCATGCCTCATAAATAACAAAGCTCTCATAATTAGTAGGTTTGTGTTTTAGTAAAATTATGTTAGATATTTTTCCTTCTTTTTCTTTTTTTTTCTTTTTTTAACAGCAGGTTGTGGGGTTTTTTTGTTGTTCTTTTTTGTTGTTTTGTTGTTGTTTTTTTGCAAAATCTATGTATTTGATTTGAAAATTTCTGTTGGTCTTTGAGCTTGACAAGAATAGTCCATTTACTATTATCATTTCTCATAGTGATTGATATCCATCTGCTTGTAGAAGAACTGCTAACTCAGAAGGTGTATGCCCTTCAAATATTTTGGAATAAGGCCAAACCAGAAAGCAGCCTTTTAAAACCTTTATACTTAATTGATAGATGGCTGTCTCTCAGAATGGATTCACCTTCAACTAGTAATTTGCCTTCCAGCAACTGCTGTTCCTTTCTTGTATGTGAGAAGCAAATGAAAATTGAAACCACAGGTACCTAGCATTGCATATCTGACTTGCTGATATTTTCTACACATTTCCCTCCAGAAATAGCCTATCCTCTACCTGTTAAAGTGTTCATTCTTGCCTTTATACAATGTAAAGAATATGGGGATTTTAAATAGGAATGATTAATGGAATATATATTTTTCATGGGTTTAAATTCTGATATTTCTTGCATGAGCTAATGATCTATTTTTAAGAGCACAGAGATTTCACACAGGGCTATTTTTCTCTGAAGTGTGTTATGAAATTATATTGAATAAGTTCTGTACTGGTTCTGTTTATATTTTTATTTTCATAAACACTTCTCTTGGGATCATAAATTTCACAAGAAAATGAGATTTTACTTGCAAGATGAAAAGCCTAACATTTCTACTTTTTCACTACAGTGTAATGTCTGTATAATCTCAAAACTTTATTGTTGACATGATAGCAAAATAATTTTTCCAAATAAAATTTTGGATACTTATTTAAATTAATTTACATTATAAGATACTTCCTTTATTTCAAGCCCTAAGTGTGATATGGTATTATACTTAAATATCTGCTATGTTACACATATTAAGAAAAGTATATTTTAATGAAGCTGGACCAATTTGAGTAGAATTGCACTGTAGGTAGAATTTGACTTCAGCACTCCCCTTTTTCCTGCTCCTTTCCAAGTCTCTTCATCCACTAGAGGTAGAATAAGGGAGATTTTAACTAGTGGGGAGACATGTAAATACCTTTCAGGTTGGAAATTCTTACTCTTGCAGGATGTCTCCCACTCATCCTTTTTAGGCAAAAACTTATTCAGGGACTGTTATTGCTGCTCTTCTTTGACGCTCCATCATGTGAAAAACTGTATTTGAATGCTTAGAAGGAAGGGAAAGAAAACCTGCCCCTCAGTACTGATATTTTTTTTATATGTCAGGTTTAACATATTTATCAGAGAACACTGGCAGTTTAACACTTTAGATTATAAAGACAACTATCAAGAATCAAATGCAAACTTGTACCTTTAAATGACCTGAAAGAATTTCGCTGAACATGTTTTGCTTCTTTACATAGTAGAAATTAGAGATTTCCCCAGGGCAATGTAACACACTAACTTTCTATTCATATTTTTCCTCTTTATCCTTTATTTAAATTCTTCAAAAACAAATATGCACTACAGGTTTCCACGTGGTGCAAAGAAGGGCATCTACATTTGAAAAAGCATCCTCAGATCTCTTATTCTACATGAAGTCATTTTAGATTTTTCCAGGGCAACATACAATGTTATTTATCTTAATCTTCATTTGAGCACTAACAGTCTTCTTGTCACTGCACCTGACATCCCTGACTGCTATAATAATTTACCAACCTAGTTGTTAAAGGGTGAAATGAGCTTATAAAGAGATTTTGGCAGAAAATATTAGGTTATTTTTGAATCTAGAGTAAATGTTTGATCATATGTAAAACAGTGTTCCTAAATAGAAAAATGAACAACATAAATTCAAATAAAATACATGTAGCTTTCATGAAGATTCTATATAATTATATATATACATATATATGTATATGTATATATATATATATCATATGAAACATATATGTTCATGTATTTTATGTATCTGTATTATAATCCACATGAAGGTTACACGATTCCTTTCAAATTTATGTTGTTCATATTCTTATTCATAATTTTAAAGGATCAAATTTTTAATGTAATAAATATATTTTTACTTTTAAAAAGGTGATTTTATTTTATGACTATTACCTCTGTAGATAACAGATTTTATGAAACTCAATAAGTATTAACAATTGAGTGAGCAAATTATGAAACATTAAACAATTCAAGCATAGCTTTTAAAACTGTTTCTGAGATATACATTATTTGACAAAACTATCCAAGTACCACTAAAAGATTGGATGGAATTTTTATACTCTGATTATCTGGGCTGAGTTAATGCTTATTAAAAAGAGGATTAATCTACATTCATATTTAAGAAATAGCTTATCAGGAAAGGGACCAAGGCTTGGCTGGCAACATTAAAGTTTCCATTTGGAGTAGGAAAACGTGGTCTACTGGAGATAGGCACTCTGAAAGCTTCCTTACCCCCAAAGAGCAATTTACTGCATAGCCATGCTTTCCTATCCCCTCACTCCTAGCAGGCATGAGATTAGGGTTAATCCTGTCAGATAATAGTGCAGGTACTTTGTGTATGATATAAACTTGCAGAATATTTCTACCATAAATTCTTTGTAAATATTGTAATATATTCAAAATATTTAATAGCATTCTAAAACATTTAAGATTGTGATTTCTGTAGATTTTTAAAGAAACCTTAGCATTATTTAGTTAGTTTTAGCTAAAAACGTCCGTACATGGCTTGCTGAAAGTTCTCAGTTTAATATGTTAGCAGAAACTCCTGATAAAGATTCACACCTATTTCAAATTTATGTCTGATAAGCACAAAATTACTACACTGGGAGTATCAAAATCATGACTAGAATGAGATTGTCCAATCACCTATGC